GCTACTAGGGGCTCCTGGCCTTACTACTAGTAGCAAAGAAGCTACTACAGTAGGGACCCTGCCTCCAGCCGCAAGCGGTCGTCCTGCGAGGGCAGCACACGGCCGCGCCGCAGGTCAGAGACCAGCTGCGTCAAGGTGTCTCCGTTGCGGAACTGCGGGCTCACCTCGCCTCGGGAACCGGGCAGTGGGAACCGGTCAGTGGGAACGGCCAGGGCCTCAGGGATTTGGGGGCTTCAACCTGCTTCAACCTGTAGCGATGCACTTGTTACTAGTAGCAAACATTGTTACTACTAGTAAGGCACTTGTTACTAGTAGCGATGCACTTGTTACTAATAGCTTCAACCTGCTTCAACCCCCCAGGTCTTTCATGAAAGTGACAAGGCAGGTGCGACCTGCGACATGAGAAGTGCCAGGTGTTTCCCCGCCTTCACAGTGAACATTTGGATTCGCAGGAACATGTTCTTCCGCCCCAGACAGCCCCAAGGACCACACCGAAAAACAACAGCACGTCCGTCGTGGCTCAAGCAAAGCAGTAACCATGGGGTCAAATCGACCTGGGCATGGCCTCCCAACCGACTAGCGATGACCTCCAACCAAGTGACCGTGAGTAAAAAACACCTGGCCCACGGACATCTGGCATCGCTTGGATGGAAGACGAGGTCGCAAATCTTCCTGAACGCCGCCGGCCCAACGTCGCCGGACACGACACACCGACCATCGGTCCGACACACCGGTGGAGCGCTTGGAGCGCTGGTGGACCACCATGTCTTTGCAAGACATGCTTCTTCCTCCCCATGTCTTTGCAGTTGCGCTTTTGCAAAGGCTCTATAGAGAAAATCAACCATCCATGAAAATCGGAATCGAAGTGGTCTGGACTTTCGAAACCTGCTTGACTCGAAGATGCATGGCGGGGCCCTGAATTGTGTGAGCTGTCAGCTCTCAGCTATGCCAGCTATGCAGATGGGAGACCATCACTAGTTGGAGGCCATCGCTCTTAGGTTTGAGGTCATCGCAAGTAGGTTGGAGACCATCCCATACCTTTTTCTCCAACTTAGTCTGTCAAGTGACATTCTGCCGCATCACCTCCTCGGCAAACTTCCTGAAAACCAGTTCGTGGCGCTTCACACTTCGTGATGTTGAGGGGGTTGCCGTTGCGTCAACCTGATCATGGCAAAGGTCGACATGGGTCTAAACTATATAGGTGTTGCTACAATAGTGAGGAATCGTAGCCCAAACCTTCTTACATCTTCTTGCCAAAACCTGCACGCGCCTTTCCAACTAGTAGCGGAGTAACCTGTTTTTCTTTGGTTCTGTTCTACACATCTCTGTGCTCTTGATGAGGGCCCCCCTCCTTCCAAAAGTCTCCAACTCTCCCCTCCCCTACTACCCTGAACCCTAAACGCTGAGAGCGACGGCCTCCAACCTACTATCGATGGCCTCCCAGAAAAGATCCAACTCTGCCTCCTCTTCCTCGTCCCCAGCAAGGACGCTACTAGAGGCTCCTAGTAGTAAGGCCAGGAGCCCCTAGTGGCGTCCTAGCTCCTAGTAGCGATGCCCTTTGCTCCGTTCGTAGCAAGGACGCTACTAGGAGTGCCAATGGCCCACTCCACGTGCCTCCATCGCATCTGCCCCCTTCACCTCCTCTTTCTCCGTCGCCTCGGGCTGCTCGGGCGCCAAGGCATCCCACTGCGGATGCATCGCTTTGGTCAAGAGCTCCGAGACCGCACGCCACACGGCCAGGCAGGAGCTGGCCTGGTAGGCTCTGTTTGGGTCCGAGCCAACGAGCGGAGCTGGTGTGTGCGATGCGCGTTGAAACAGGTCAAGGATGGTCAAGGTGGTGATGAAAGATTCACTCAATTATTGCGGTACGTACCTAGATGGTACTAAAGATTAGCAGTACCTTGGACTCTGCATGATAGTATGCATCCCCGAAGTTTCCTCTTGAATAAACACCTGCTGAGTGCTTCCAAACAGCGTGAATCCAATCAGTTCAGATACTGATTGCCTTAAGTGATTGAAAACAACATCAATCATAAGGAAAACAGTAAGAACTACTTGCTGTCCTCTGCTTGGTTCTGTATCCCGAAATCGAACCTTGAAACTGTATTCCACAGCTTGAAGGAAGTTCTCAAATCTGGCACTTTCCACGTTTTCTTCCACTTATGGCAAACCTCCACTTACAGATGGAAAAGAACCCTGTCTAAACTGAACCAACCCAGACTGACTCGACTCTGGCTGTACCGGTCGCAGGGGCTGCCCTGCCTCCAGCAATGCATTTTGACTGGTGGAGTCAGACTGCATCTTTTGCCTCACGGTCAAATCGACCGACTTCCCTCCTGAGAAGGGACCCTTCTCTGGAAACCCGGCTGAATGGTGAAGCGAACGAAGATGTGAACGAGTACGTAGTAAACAAACACCAGTGGTTCTAAGAAACACGGGTGATACCCCAACAAATGACTTCAACCTCTGGGCAAACGCACGCACCCTCAGGCACCGCCTCCAGTCGTCCATGATCCGTAGGGCTTCTCGCCATCGGGACCGTTTCGACGCCAACTGCGTCAGCTCCACGCGGTAGACGTATTCGTCGCCTCGACGGGCATCGCCACACGACGAACGAGTCTGGAGCGACCGGGCCGACGCGACGAGTCCGGAGGGGGCGAGGCTGGCCTTAGGAACAGGTGCCACGCTACGAAGGGAATTGAGTTATAAAATCTAATTAGTAACAGGTGCCACGCTAGTAGTAACAAGTGCCTTACTAGTAGTAACAAGAAACTACTAGGAACAAGCGCATCGCTACTAGTAGGAATTTATATATTGTTTCAAATCGACCGGAACTTCAGTGGATCGACGCGAAGATCGACACGAGCGGAGGACCCGGGAAAAGAGCGGAGCAAAGTGTTATTTTTTCTCTGCGCGAAACAAGAGTTTGAAACAAATCAGAACACGAGGGGAGCCGTTGCCATTTCTCTTAACACGTTCTTTCTTTTCGTCGCATGAGACAGTGGTTCAAGCGCCGCAAGATCGGAGACACGCACCGGAGCAGCCACCGGGTGCTGAGGCGTTCAGGTACCAGTCGTTCCACGTTGAAGATGCACGAGGTACCAGTCGAAAACGACCGTTCTTGTCATCCACCATTGATACTACACAACTTTGGGCATCACTTCTTAGCTATATATCCTACTAGGCCAGGAGCCCCTAGTAGCGTTCTTGCTCCCAGTAGCGATGCCAGGAGCCCCTAGTAGCTTTTCGTTACTAGTAGCTACTTGCTCCTAGTAGTACGGCCAGGAGCCCCGTTCGTAGCGTTCTTGCTCCTACTCTATCCGCCATCCGGCATCTTCCCAAAAACAGAAGCGCAATTTGATTCCAATTGAATTCTAATTCTAATTACGAAGTCTTGTTTCTACTAGCAAACATTGTTACTACTAGTAAGGCACTTGTTACTAGAAGCGATGCACTTGTTCCTAGTAGCTTCCTTTGCTCCTAGTTAAACCGACCGAGGTCCCGCCTTTTCGATCCGCTCGGGTGAAGACCTTCACGCGATCCCCTCGTGCGGGAACGAGGCCATGCACGAGCGAGTGCAGCTTAAAGTAGAGATCCCGCGAACGGCCTGGGACGGTGAGTCTGAAGTCTGGGAAGCACCGAACCAGACTTAAGTTTGTTAAGTCTGTTAGGGTTTGTGGAAAGAGTTCGATTTAAAACCAAGAGAACAGCGACTGACAGTCGTCCCAGTCAGATGAAGTTGGCCGGTCAACTCTTTGGCCGGTCCAGTCTGGACGCAGCGTCCAAACCGGGTGTTTCGAAAGAACCACGATCAAACGGGCCATCCGAACCACCACGTTCCACTCGCCGCCAGTTCGAACTGGGATGAACGACGGAAGAGAGACCCTTAACTTGTGAAGATAGAACCGCCGGTGCGATCGACGGTGCGATCCATGGAATCGTTCCCAACAGACGGGAGCGGAGAAGACGCGACGTCCTCCCATGCCCCGTGGCGAGGCTTCGACCACGAGGAGCGTGGTACTCCACGGTCGACGTTTTCGACCGCCCCCTTCGACAACAGCGCAATAGCGCGCCTTCGACTTCTATAAAACCAAAGCCTCTGTCTTCTTTCACAGTGCTCACCGTGCCGTGCAAAGGCACAAACTCCATAGCACTGCAAGCGCAAGGGCTGGGCCATCCCCTTTGTAATCAAACATGCACAGAAGTGTTCTGTGGCAAAACACCTACAAAACACCTACATCACTTTGCAACGTTCGAGTGATTCCGGTGATTCCGGCGCGCCTTCTAGACGTTCGACCCTGCGCCCATTTCGACCCCTTAAGGCATTCTTCCGTTCGACGGGCAGACCAAAGGTGTCTGGAAAACAGGACGTGCCTTGATCCAAAGGTGAGGCATCGTCGTTCACGATGCACAAATCTCTCCAGTCCACAAACTGTCCAGCAAACGGGCTGTACGAAAGACCACCCATCACAGCAATATGCGCAACATGAGACAGTCAAATGCTCTGACCTACCGATAGTCAGTCTGCATCGCCGCATCGGCGATGCTACTTGTTTGCAACCCTGCGGATTGGCCCAGACTTCTCGTCTCTTGGCCTAAAAACGACCTTGGGCCGCTGAGTCTCGAGCGGCAACATGAAAGGTGTAACGAGGCAGCTGGAGGGCTTCAGATGAAAGTATTCAGCGGGTTGCGAAGTACCCAGGATAGCATCTAATCGAACAGTTGCCTTGAGTCAAGATCTTCCACCCTGAACCCAAAGAACTCCCAAAACAGGAAGTTTTTTTCCCCGAAGATACCTGTTTCATCATGCTGAATGCGAACGGATGGAAAGATGTGCCCTGGCCCCGTTCTAGCCCTTAGTTCAACATGAAGCTCGCGCGCTAAAGCTCCTTTTTACCTGGTTGGGCACTTGAGCCAAAAGTATATGGCAAGTACCTATATAGCAATTATACTGGGACCTCATCCCTATTGACACCCCCCACATCCGTGCTTCGACGGGGAAGGGAGATGAGTGGATGTAAAAACCGGAGAACGAATCATGTTCTCAAAAGTGTATTGGAGGTCAACCAGTATATCCTATTGAATTGAATGGGCAAAAGATCTTGCATTTGCCTGAAGGCTGGATCAAACAGGTAATGGAGCTACAAACGGAAAACGTGCACCTACCGATGGTATCATGCGATTACCAACGGTGTGAAACACAATCCTATCTCACTCCCATGATGCCAAAATGGTCATCATGAATTACCCAAGATCCCTCAGTACGTGAAGTACCAAAAGTGGCATGTCGGTATGACCCCAACGCTCAACCATTCGTGAGTTGCCGCATGTAGTCAGCGCCGACAAAGCCAATGTAGTCCTTGATGAGCTCGACGTTCCTCGGATTTCCCGCTCGGATCTGGTTCTCGAAGAGCTTCAATTTCTGCGCTTGAATATCGGATACCTCTATGCCATAGTAGCGGCATGCAACGAGGATCTCCTTCGTGACATTCTTCCGCTCCGACTTGATGGCGGGGCTAATGTCAATGAATTTGTATGGAGCGGCACTTTCGTCATCTGGTTTCTGGTAGTAGCTATATCGGCTCGCTCCGAAGGTCTTCCTGATCAAGCGTCTGATGAAGTTTGAGATGAATGCCAGCTTCTCGACGATCTCTTCCTGGGTCTCAGACCTCCGAGCCTTTGGATCACTCATGTTACGCCGAGTGCTGCCGACCTCCTTGAGGTACTTGTGGCTAAGCCCGCAGCGGATTGCAGTGATCATCATCGGGTGAACAACGTGGGCGTGGAACTCATAGATCTGCCACGCTTCTGTTGCAAACGTGTCGTTGGTCCATTTGCTCATGCTTACGACCTCGGCTCTCTGGAGACGTCTTGGAAACCCAGTATCCGGATCATTCGGTACTATTGGCCATCTATTGTATGGAGTGTCATGCCGCTGTCCATCGTCGAACCTTCGCAGTACGTCTTCACGACTCTCAAAGCAGTTGATGTCGAACGTCGCGTTGGCCAAGCTCTTGATCAACTTCATCAACCTCAGATCGAACTGCTGTGTGACTGCAAAGTTGTGGTCGATGGGGATCGCAGCTTCTTGTGGCAGTTCGTCAATCGCGAAGGGGAAAGGCTGCGGAAGTTCATTCCCGTATCCATCTTGAGGGACCTCCCGATATTCGGGTTCGCCTTCAGCTTCATCCGGTCGTTCCTTCAAAATGATAGGAACTTCCTCCTCTTCCTCTCCTTCGGATTCCTCGACGTCAATGACCTCTTCGGCTGTCTTGCGTGCCTTCTTGATGACTTCGTCGATGTTTGCACCTGCAGCAGAAGTTGCTTCGCCAGAAGAACTGGCTGGGACATCCTTCGGAGGTGATCGTTGATTGCGGTCTCTTGTCTCCTTGGGTACCACATGTGTGAGTTTCCCATTCGCGATCAAAACCGCTACGCAGTGCGGACATACTGTCAACCGCACATCGACTTCGCCAAGACAGTTAGGACACGGCCTTGAGTCATAGTCCTTCATTGCCCGGCGGTACACGATCTCCTCAAAGATTTCCTGCCACTCGGTGCTATCATATTCTGGGTGTACGCCACTCTCCTCGATCATACCCAATAGTTTTAAGATTTTGGCGTCGTCCTCGGAGTAGGTATCGTCCTGAACTTCAACCGCTAAACTCTCAAGCTTCTGAAAGCGTGGGATCATGATCGGGTTTCCGTATTTGGACTCCAGAACAAGGTAGCTTCCAGGGTCGGGTTCCCTATTGAGTAACCTGATCCATTCGATCTCCTCAGGCTTTCCGGGTTCCGCATTGTCGCATTGCAACCATGCCCCTTTAACCTCATCGAAGGGAACGACGTTCTCGACCAATAGAGAGCCAGTCGCTGAGATGGGAAGTCCGTACTCCTGCAGCTTCCACACCGGAATGTAGAGAACCACTGGGCGATCACTCAATGCGACCTTACGACCCAGCCAAGGTTTTCCCTTGTAGCCCTGCTCCCAGGCCCATGGCGGAAAACATGTGAAGTGGATAGAATCCCTTCCCGATGAACCGAGACCTCCTGGCACTAGCCCTCGTCGCATGATTGAAGTCAGCGCTCCAAGATTGGTAGCGTGAAATGCAGTCACCATGGATAGGGCCATGTCGTTGGTCATTCTCGATCCAATGTGGTCGATGTTGATGGTGACGTCATAACCTCCGCCGTCCGATGAGTGTGCTGAGGTTGCTCTTACGGCCACGGGAAAGCACCATCCATTGCTGTTGTGGAGTCTTCCTTTGGAGATTCCCATGCCCTTGAGTTCGTCAATCCATTCCTTCTCCATCGGGTCATCAGGGTCATTGAGTTCATCAGGACGAACGCGGACCGCCAACATTTGGAATCTGATCCTCTTGGTTATGCGGAAACACTCATAGTTCTGGTCGAAGAACTTCTCCAAACGCGCCTTCTTGGTCACGGTATCTACGTTGCCGTAGTGATAACCGTCTTCCCAAACTGCATTATCACCCAACAGATCTTCCCACGACACCCATGCGCCTTCATCGCATTTGATTGGTGTGAGTCTCCCACCTGTCCTGAACTGGCGTCCAATTCGATGTCTCAACTTCGCTCCCAATCGACGACTCAGGGCTTGGCTCGCTTGGCTGTATTCAGGTACTCGACAGTATGGAGTCGGATACTTGTGGTTGCCATAGTCGGAGTTCGTTGCAGCGAATGTGACTCCGTTGATCGGTACTAGTTCAACTTTCCCGACCATCGTCATGGGGTCGATCGGCTTGTATCCCTTCTCCCTCCGTGTCGGTAGGGGATAGAAGTGATGACATGCCCTTGGTTTGAGGGAGCTGGAGTGCACGAATGCCTTCTCTACGAACTCGTACACCACCCTCATATCCCTAGGGCCCACTTCCGCAAGCTTCCGCCCATTGTAGGAATGTGTCCCTCCTTCGACTCCATCAGCACTTTCGATCAAGGTGAATCCGTCATGGTCAAACATTGTCACGACTCTTGCTTTCAACATCTCTTTTCGCCTGAACTCGCTGTCGACCTTCCTATCTGGAGTAGGCGATGCTCTCTGCTTCTTCTTCTTAGGCTCCTCGGTTGGATGTCCAGATGGTGCATCGTCGGGTGCAACCTCTCCCTTCACTCTCTTCTTCCAATCACTCAACACTGAGGTGACTGTAGGTGAGGATGAAGGGGTCTTCTCGCAATTGAGAGTTGTGTGTCCCGACTTCATGCAGTGGATGCAGAATTCTGCTTGCCCGATCTTCTCCTCAAATTCGTCGATGGCTTGCAGTATTGACGTCTTCGGGTCGGACATGTCAACGTCTTGCTCCTCCTTCTCCTGTTCAAACTCAGTCTCCATATCGACACCTTCGGCCTCGGGCTGGTCAGTAGCCTCTGTTCCTTGTTCTGGTTCTTTCCCGATTTCGAAGAAGTGGTCGATGTCGAATTCAGGAGGCGGCATGGTCCTCATGCGAACGAGAATCAGTGCCACGTTTGCCGCCTCTTCAGAGTGCGGATCCAAGGTCCTGATCGTCGATCGCTTTCGGTTCTCATACGTTGTCCTGTCGTACAGCGATGCAGTGACGCGCTTGATGGATTCTTCTAATCCCATCCTCAAAGCTTCAATGTCACCCCATCCCTTGAACAGGTGCTTGAAGAGTTGAGCAACTTCGAGCATGCCCAGCAGTGCTTCCACCATGTCACCTACCCGTTCCTCTGTGGGATCGTCTCCGAATATAGTGCGGAATACATCGGGCTCCAATATGGTCTTGAGGTACTTGGTGTAGCACACGTTGCCAAGGTCATAAGATCCCTGGTAGTACATGGCTCTGCCGACTATCTGCTTTTCCACATGGATGCTGGGTCCTCTCCTCGTTTTGAAGAAGTTCTCCGTCATTGTTGACGACAACCTGATCCCTCCGAAGAACGAGATCTCCTTCTGGAAACCTGGATTCCCGTTGAAGATGATCATCGCCTCATGCAAGAACTTCATCAAGTCTTCGTGCGGGTTCATCTCGGAGATCATGACGGTGGGGGAAGATACCGTTTGTCCCATGCCGAAGTTGTAAAGCATTCGAGCGCATGCATGGAATCGCTTCTGGACGTAGTCTTCTGCGGACATCCCACGGCACCTATTTGCTGCTCCGTTGATGCATTCT